ATAAATTTTTACAAATTTCAGACAGATTTTATTTTGCTTTTTTTTTTTTTAATTTCTTGTAAGTTGCTGAAAATGTAAGTTGCTTCGAGAACCCAGTATGGATTCTTTTGCTCTCCCTGCTTTCCTTTTTCCTTTTTCTTTTTTTTTTTTGGGAGAACCCATGGGGTTCTTCGAGAACCCAGTCTGGGTTCTCCTGAAGAACCTAGAGAACTCGGACCAAAAAAAAGTAAGAAGGTGGGAACGTGGTAGAAGGTTGATGATTGCTTTGTCTCTGCTATTGCTCTTGCACAAAATTGCAGGTTTTGGTCTGGTTAGTGAGGATGGTGAATAGTGAGGAAGAGAAAGGAAAGATGGTAATGGAGAGTTAAGTGTGATTAATAGACAGTAACAGAAATTAAAAGGTGTAACGGAGTGTGTGAAAAGAAAGGGTAAATCTACCATTATCCATTTATTTAATACTATATAATATTATATGTGGTATTGTACCTATAATATTGTATATGGTTTCAGTTTTCATACTCATGAAACTTGGTTTATCCACAAGCTAACTTCTACTCCATTTCTCCTTACAAAATCTTTTATGAGATTTTAAAGAATATTTGAATTTTATCCTCATTGGATCCTTACTTGTTTTTGGGTAGGCGCTTAAACGTTCTCATTCTGATTTTGTGGAAACTGCTTTTAGATTGGAGGGTTGTGCACAGTGAAATACACCATCTAAACAAACAAAGAGTACACAGATCACTCAATGCATGACTTTTTTAGTGGAAAGCCGACATTTGGGGCGAACAGTATTCTATTCTCCCCTTTATTGGATGCAAGAAAAAGGCTAAAAATCCTAGATAATAGGTCACATACATATCTATTACAGCGCCCTTAATTACATGCTCATAGGCCTACAAGTGCTGAGCTTATTATTTTGGTGCTTTTAAGTAGGCCAAATTAGTGGAATTGGAGACTTTTGTTAGGGGTCTTGAGATCATATGCAATCCAACAACTTGAAGTCTGCTGGTGATAAAAGTAGCCCAAACACTTGCAGTCACTAGTGCATTTCTTTTCACATTCTCCCTTCTTCATAGGCCCATTTCCACTTGTGTACTTGCTCATAAAATGGTCCACCCTTTAATCTTGTAGTAGTAAAAATCATCAACCCCAAACTTTGTTACCTTCTTCGGCTCACAGTCGTTGCTCCAACCAATTAACCCCTTTTGGGGACAGGCAGGCTACGCATTGGTTGTCCTCACAAAGTCCAAATTTGCCACATCTCTCCGGTAATTGGCATTCATTTTCCCACATTGAATCTCTTGAGAAGAGAGTTAATGTCTCTTCCCAAGCCCCCCACATCACATGTTGGTAGAAAGTGTGAACCCTAAGGTTTCCATCTGGCCAGAGTCGGAGCAATGATAGAGTGGCATTGTACTTGGGCCTATTTAGTAAGAAAACTGTTCCTGTAGAGCCAGTGCTCTGATACTCAAGATTTATGTCATAAGCATAACCCTCATTATGGGTTTCTCGTTCACTATTGAATTTCACCTCCAAAGGACCATATACATCTCTCCAAGCATACTAGAGATAGGGGTTAGGGGAGTTCTGGTTTTTATAATACAAAGCTAGTCTTTCAGGCTCTAAGACGAAGCTATAAGCCCCATTTTTGTTTACCCCATCGGAGGCTTGACTTACTAGCTTTGTTGGACCTTTGAGCCTAAGAGATTGACCCACTAACATGGTATTCGTGGGATGATCAAAACTTTGCCAAATAAATTTACCTTTGGAGTCATGGAGCACCATGTTACCATTTGGTAGTAGTTCGAAGCCTGTGACACCTTTTTGTTGGCAGTGTTTTTTTGCCAAGCAATCCCGCCATCGCTATCGGCCAAGACAAGATTCCCGTCCTGTCCGAATGTCAGAGTGGCTTTCTCTCGAACTGGGTTCCCAAGATTGGCATCCCAAACCCAAAGGGAAAGCGATTCTGTACTTGTAAACCCCATAAGTAGTCCTAAGGTGAAGGCATCCGGGATGGTGTTGTAGAAGCAGAGCATGAATGGCGCACTGAACGGACGTACAGTACGATAATTTGCATTATATTCTGCTTTATAGAAATCAAATTCTCCCTCATTGACACACTTAAATGTCTTCGAGAGTGGAACAGAAGCTAAAGCAATGAAAGGAGAGATTGAGACAAAGAACAAAACGGAAACAAAGGACATGGTAAAGAAGGGAAAAGACATCTTGATAGTGAAATGGCTTCTTGGGTATAGGATGAACACGATGTATTAATTTATAGAGAATGAATAATCTTAATCTAATCATATTTTGGCATTATTTTTCATCAATTTGGATGAATTTAAAGTTTTGGATCGTACTCATTGCTAATCTTATTTTCTTCAAAATTAGCACTTGGATTAAGTATTCTTTCATTTTTTTTGTCAGTGGGCACATGTAATTTTGAATATAGATAATTAATCAAGTTGCCGCATTAACCATGGATCAAGCTGGTCTTTAAACTTTATTTATTTTAAGCGATTGAATTAGGGCTTTGCACTAGGTAAAAGGCATAAACAAAAAAAATGAAGCATGATCTTTGGAGGTTCAAAAAAACAAAAAATATAGAGTTCAATGATGTTAAAGAAAATGAAATATATATTTGGTGTTAGAAACAAAATGGTTTAGAGGTTTTTTTCTGTTTAACGGTTTTGTTGGCTTTCCAAAATTTTAATTAATATTTTCTATCATAAATTTTTAACCGAAATAACTAACAATAGGAATAATATTTAATATTTAGGGTAAAAATTGAAATAATATTTATTATTTATGATAAGATTGGATCGACCCTAACAACTCCTTCAAAAAAGAGGGAGACTACCACAAGATAAACAAATCTTAATTACAAAAGAGGAGACAACTTCCACCTTTTATCATCTACCGATCTAACCTAACTATCAAAAGGAGGCAAGGCAACGACTAGGGCAAAAACGAAAACAATTGAAAAAGTAGATGTTCAGGGTGAGAGAAGGAAGAAGGCGGCTAGAGTTTATTAGTGCTCCTCACTTTTTTTTTAATGGTATAGTGCTACTCACTTTTTATATAAGAAAATAATTGATATATTTCAATACATTATTTTTTATACTCATTTTAATTAGGATATATATTATTTAAATTTTTTTAATATAATTTTAAATTAAAAATGATAATTTTTAATTAATATTTATATTATACAATATATTAAATGAGAGTGTGTTAATCAATATCTTTTTATATATTTATGATATGTACTTTTTAATTCTTTTTATATATTAATCTAATTGGCCCACCTCAAAATTTTGAAATTTAGTGCCTGGACATAGGAATTATTATTTGCATTATACGAGGTAAAGACAATAGAAATATTCACTGGCACGTCTCTTAATGTGGATAAACATAGATATGTTTTTTGATTTTTTTATACATTAAATGATGAAATTAATTCTTTAGTCCTTCCTTTCCTTTAACTCCTCTCCGCCAATTGATTTGAATTTTACATATCCAACTTAAAATCACAAACTCATTTTTTTAAATAGATAATCAAAAGGTATGATATGAATATTGGAGGATGAACTTATGGTTGTTTGCTTGGTAATAAAAAAAGATAAAGAATTTTCATTAAAGTAAATGAATATATGGTTGTTTATTAAAATGGGTGAATATATGGCTGTTTATTTAGTCTTGTTGATTGTGGCTGCAGAATCTTTGTTTGTAGCATTTTCTGTGCCGAGTTTTTAAGAGCGCACGCCCTGTAATTGAAGCCATTTGATGTACAT